ATGAACATGGGCATAGCTGCATTTTCACATCAGATGAATGAAAAAGGAGTGGGTGGACTTATATCAACCGATGAATAATTATTTCTATAAAGCACTTAGCAATAGCTCTACTTTCCATGAGTGAGCCAAAAATAAAACAACCTAATTGCTATGTCCCATATCTGACAGAATCATTCTAACAGAAGATACGCTAGCTTTCTTTGGAAGAGCTGTTGATTTAATAGCAGTTTTTGAATATTATTACTGTGTTGATCACACAGTCAGCCAGATGTTTAGACTAGGTTTGGCATTTTTATCCACCTATTGAGTCCTTCCCAAGGACCTAGGATAGAGAGTTATTGTTGATAGCAAGGGTGGCACACTTGTCCAATCCACACTCATTGCAATATCTTGGCTGCATCATAGTATCATAGGGACTGGAAGGGAGGTCTTTTATCCAACTTCCCACCCAAGTCAGGAGACCTTATTGTGTCCCAGACAAATAGCTGTCTAAACTTGTCTTGAAGACCTCCTGCAATGGAGCACCACAACTCCAGGAGGCAAACTGTTCCATTGATTGTTCTTACTGTCAGGAAATTTCTCTTTAGATCCAGATTGGATCTCTCTTTAATGAGCTTACTCCCTTTGCCGTATCTGTATGTGTTGAGCAACGATTCTGTTTCAAATAGTATTTTTCCATTTAGCTACAAATCTTCCATGTAAAAGAAGTGGGTTAGCCTGGCACATATTTTGATATTTGCTAGCCTTAGCCTGACTTGTTCCGTATTCTTAACAGAGGAATTAATGCAAAGACAAACAGTTAATGATGATAGTAAGACTTCTTGAAATATTTCTCTTTTTGATATTAACCTTTTCCAGTCTATAACTGGAAGACCAGTAACTGTATCTTCCATTGTGCCATTGATCTTTGCATAAAGCTTCTAATGTTTGTACTGACTCCTGTTATTTCTAGGCACTTGTGTGTCCAATCAGGTGGAACCGAGTCAAATGTCTTCTTGTAATCAATCCAAGCTACATTCAAGTTGGTCTTCCTTCTGTTGCAGTTTTCCAAAATCGTTTTGTCAGTTAGGAGCTGATATTTTGTTCTTTTACTATTTGGATGGGTTTCTTTCTGCTCAGGTAGAAAAAGCTTTTGCAGTACTGTATGTTGTTAAACTGTTTGGCAGTGAGTGGGTGGAAACCAGCCAGATGTTTCAACCAAAACCCATGCAGCCCGTCTTCACCTGGTGCTGACCAATTCTTAATGTTCCTTGCTCCTTTTCCCACCATCTCTGCGCTATTATAAATTCTTTCATTTCAGCTTCTTTTTTATTCTTATCCACCTCCTTTATTCGAGCTGTATTGTTGTTGTATTTCTTCGAGTTCTTCCCTGGAACTTATCAGGTGTTCATTGGTTCATTGCAATCTCTCCATTAATGGATTGGGGAAAATATTTCTGATTTGACTGTAATTGAAGATTTTGCTTATAGTGTGCAATTCAAGCTTCATATCTGCCAATCCTCTTGGCTATAGCTGTTATTTGCTGCTTTTTTAAATTTCCATTGCTTCCTTGATCTTCCTTGTTTCTAGGTGATATTTCTTGTTCAGGTATTGTTTGCCTTTCTTGTTCTTCAGCTTCTTTGTTTCATCTGTTCTAGCTGGTTTGCATCTGATTTTAGAAGGCTGGTCTTACTTTCCAACCTGATATCCCATTTGGTGGTGCAATTTGGCTTTTTTTCCCCTTCGTTGTTGATTTTTCATCCAAGTTTTTCAATTATAACTGCAGCCATGCTGTACTTTACTTGGTTTGTTTCCTGCAGTGAGCTGGTGCTTATATTTGATATTACCATATTGATACCTTTTAATATTAGTGTTAGCTGTTTCTTTGGAACAAGCTTCAGTGCGAGCAACCTTATTCTGTTGTTTTTGTGGTGTTCTAGATGCTTAATCACGCTTTATTTCCATTCCTCTTGTTTTTTAGATAGATGGTTTTGTTCTTTCTGAAGAGAAGACAGAGGAGAGGGACCTTAGTTTCAGAATGAACAGAGTTCAGTAGTTTCTTATACTTTATTTCATATTATACATTAGTGTTGATCTGCTAGTTTCTGTTCTCTTATTTCTGATTCTGGATTCTGTTATTTTTAGAACTGTTGCATTCTTTCAGATATCCTCTTCTCGTTGGACTTAATTATTATTTTTTTCTTTTCAGCTTTCATATATGGGTGTGGCCCATTGGGTGGGCATGGCTGCGGGTAACAGCAGACTGGGTGGGACTAAAAAGTTCAATCAATCAATTCCAACTTTGCAAGATCTTTTTTTTTCCCAATTGACTGATTGATTGAACCTTTTTTTTGTACACGGCGGCAGAGACCTAAAGCGAAAAGGTTTTATAAAACCCAGCTGAAGGCCTAGGACTGGGGCGACGGCACACGTGCCCACAGAGTGGGCTCTGAGTGCCGCCTCTGGCACCCGTGCCATAGGTGCGCCATCACTGTCCTATTGTTTTGGGATTTCACCAAAGTGCCTATTGGTACTTCCTTTGTTTCTTTTGCCCCAGACTTTCTATTTCTATTTGCAGGTCTTTATATCTTGTGATTTTTTTCTAGTTCTATTCTGTCTCTGCTGCCCCATCCACTATCTACACTTTTTTTGTCTTTCTTATCGTCTGGGGTATTATGTGGAAGGTGCTTGTCTGTCCAAATTCCAAAGTCCCAGAGATTTAGAATCTCTTAAAAGCACAATGTTTAGCCTATGACTTTATCTTTTATTTCTCCAGCAGGAAGTAGACTGTTAAATGTACTTAGCTGAAATCATTTAAAACTATTGAAATAAGAAAACATAATCAAGTAAAGATTAGACAAATCTATTCTATCAATGTTTTTAAAATACTTTGATGTGGAAAATCCTTACTGAAGTATTTTTGAATGAAGAAGCAGCAATATGTAAATAAAAATCCAAAATTTGTACAGCCTTTGGGTTTTATATTTGTTTTTCTTGTGTTCCACACAGTGACAGTGTTCTTTGTTTAATTCCCAGACATTTTTTTTTCTGAGAGAAGCTCAGAATAGAGTATTTGCTTTGCCACTTAATTCATAAGTGCTCATGGCTAAGGCTTTCAGATTTGTTCCGTAAAAGCCAGTGGAATGTTGGGTTGAGTAATCCTCTTACATAAATTTTAAGGAAAGTTCTAACGAGAACATAAAACCACAGAATAAAAGAACAAAGAAAAAGATTAAAAAGTGAAAGAAAAGATAAAAAGAACTAGAAAGATCTTCCAATTTCCTTTGTAGCAAATATAATTACATAGTTAATTCTTATTCTGTGATTACAAGAATCAAGATCACAAAAGTATTAGTACCACCTTATAAAACCCTAGTAAGACCACACCTGGAATACTGCAGCCACGTTTGGTCACCATATCACAGAAAAGATGTTGAGAGTTTGGAAAAAATTCAGAGAAGAGCAACTAAGATGATCAAATGCCTGGAGACTAAAATATACGAAGAACGGCTGCGGGTCTTGGGTTTGGCTAGTCTAAAGAAAAGAAATAGGGGAGACATGATAGCAGTATTCCAATATTTGAGGGGCTGCCACAAAGAAGAGGAGGTCACGTTATTCTCCAAAGCACCAGAGGACAGGACAAAAAACAATGGTTGGAAACTGATCAAAGAGAGAAGCAACCTGGAATTAAGGAGAAACTTTCTGACAGTGAGGACAATTAACCAGTGGAACAGCTTGCCTCCAGAAATCGTGGATGCTCCATCACTGGAGTTTTTTTAAAAAGAGACTGGACAGTCACTTGTCTGAGATGTATAGGTTCTCCTGCTCGAGCAGGGGGCTGGATTAGAAGACCTCCAAGGTCCCTTCCAGATTCTATCCTATCCTACCCTACCCTACTCTACCCTACCCTATCCTGTTGAATTGAGTTGAGTTGAGTAATTCTCCAGAGAGAAACATAGCTATCCTCTCACCTGTGCAACTTGTGATCTTTTGTTTTATGGATAGGAAACTGGCTTGTTCATATTAACCCAGACATGACCAATTGGAAAACATCTCTTTTCCCAGAATTGCCAGTTGCTCAGTGAAAATGTAGCCTACACATTAACACATTTCTCTGGGAATCCTGCCTCTTGTTATATTTTATGAGCATGACATTGAAAGAGGTTTTTAGTCAGAAGTGTGAAAGTAGAAATCATGGATGAATTCATGATTGTTATAGAAAGATTCCATTTTATATAAGAGGGTTTATTTTTTTCAAATAGGGCAGCCTTTCTCATTGGCTTAATTTAGAAATAACATTGCTATATCTCATGGGATGTTTAGGCAACTCGTTTAGGTTAAGATATTGAACTAGGATCAGGGAGACCTGAGTTCAAGTCTACAGTCATGGAAACTCGGTGTGTGGCTGGGGTCAGTCATTCTTTCTTAGGCCTTCCTACTTCATAGGGTAGCTATTAAGGGAAGCTTGGGTGCAGGGGGGAGAGAGATGTGCTATTTTGCTCCCTTGAGCTCATGAAAGAAATGTGAGATATAAACTTAAGCAAATAAGCAAAAAGATAATAACTAGCAGAAGCATAAGAGGAACAAATAAATGTTTTTAATTACTTTTGGCTCCTAGGATCATAACATGGATACACTTAGAACAGTCATTGTGTGTCTTTCACAGTGCACATTCAGAGGAAGCATTCAAGCTAATAGCCTTATCTGACTGTGTCTTTAATATTTCATGTCCTAATTTGTGTGCTTTCAGATGGTTTTGTGTACTAAAGAGACTAATTGCCAGTTCAAACCTCCCTTGATTAATTCTAAATTGCCAGCTCCTTTACTGTGTTTTTTTTTTTTCAGATGCACTTCGGACATTTTTCTTTTTTGAAAAACTAAAGGATATCTAAAGGAAGAAAAGGCCAAGCTGAAACAAAGAGCTCTCATATTGTGCCTTCTGCCAAGAAAGCATCTGTGAGATCCTTAATACTCATTCAAAAATAATGGCCTGAAAATTACAAAAGATGTTAATTACAGAATACAGTTTCATAAAGGTGAATTCTAACATCTAAGCGGTTGATTAATTATACAAAACAAGCTCTCCTAAAACTGTTGCCTGTCCGGTAGAGATTAAGGCAAGTTTGGAACTAATGAAATGAAATGTCTTTCCCAGTAGCTTATGTGGCATTTATCAATAGGTACATTAGCTTTGGAATCTTTCTTCCTCCAAGGCAAAACAAGGTCCATAGAGATTTAGCCTATCACTGAGCCCTATATTTAAATTAAATATTTTATGATGATTTGGAGGGGTTCAGTGCTAAATAGTTTTGACAGTGTGGATTCTACATTGCACTAAGCCACAGTTTGTTTAACCACTGTTTATTCAATAACCTGCAGTTGGGCATACTGTATATAACAGGCTGTGTCATGAATGAGCCAACTACAGCAATGCTATATTAGTGCAACTTGGAATCCATTTGGAGCTTCACTGCTATGAAAACTGTTGATCTATTGTTATATGAGGAATTGGAAGCACTTTTGCATTCTCTGTGACCTTTCCAGCACATCTTGTGATTTTCTTGTGAATTTGAAGAAGATAGATATATTTCTATGTCTTTCTGTCTCCTCTTTTGGACTGACATTTCCCAGATAGAAATCATGACCTTTAAACCTATTGATGTTTTCCATCTTGCTCTTGGTCAACAAAAAAAAAGTACTGAAAAGAATCAAGAACTCTATTCACTGATCTGTAGTGGTTGAAATGGAACTGCTAGGGCTAGAAAATCCTGTGAGAACTGACCTTTATAGTAATTTAATGAGTGATGTTATCTGTAAGTTCAGGATCCTTGGAGGCAAACAAATGAATTGCAGGTTAGTTGCTAACAATGTGTTGCCATTAGATATGCAGCAGTTCAAAATCCGTGCTGTCAGCCCCCTCTACCACAAAGATCCTGCAGGAGAAGGGCAGTATGGACAACTGTGGGATCTGGCAGGCAAGAGCTGTGAACCATAAACACAAAACTTTCACTGTGTCTCTCCTTAGGGACACTAAGGAAACAGGGCAAGGTAGTTGTGCTGATGATAACTCAAATAAGCTGGGGATCGTGGTCCAAGACAAATAAAGTGTTTTGGATAGGGGAAAGTGTGAATCAGGCATTACACATGCAAGAAGAGCAAGGCATCCAAAAAGAGAAGCCACCTTCTGGTTGGTGATTCAATTATAAGGGATGTAAATTTAGGAAAGGATATGAAGGTTTCGAAAGAGGTCTGATGTCTTCCAGAGGACTGGAAAAGAGCTGATGTAGTTCCCGTCTTCAAAAAGATGGGGCTGCCACAAAGAAGAGGGAGTCAAGCTATTCTCCAAAGTGCCTGAAGGCAGGACAAGAAGCAATGGGTGGAAACTAACCAAGGAGAGAAGCAACCTAGAACTAAGGAGAAACTTCCTGACAGTTAGAACAATTAAACAGTGGAACAACCTGCCTCTAGAAGCGGTGAATGCTCCAGCACTGGAAGTCTTTAAGGAGAGACTGGACAGCCATTTGTCCGAAATGGTATAGGGCCATAGGCCTATAGAGTTTCCTGCCTGAGCAGGGGGTTGGACTAGATGACCTTTCCAACATTATTATTGTTGTTGTTGTTGTTGTTGTTGTTATTCAGTTGAATCACTAGTATTTACAGTGTGATAGATGAACTTTTTAAAACTTTGTTGGTAATTGATGTGAACACTGCATCTGAAAATGTTCAGGGTGCTTCAGAATGAAACCGAATTCACTTTTGTGACTTTTAATATTGAAAATCCTAATAGATAAGTTTTCTTTAATTAGAAAATTATAAAAGATAAAGGAATGGAAAAAAGAATGTTGTCATTCAAAAAGTTTTGGACTGTTGATTCTTGTCTTTTTCTCCCTGATAATGATGGATGCAGAGTGGATCATAAAGAAGTATCATATTAAACATTTATCAGTATAATCAAACTATGTACAACTTTTTAAAAAGCTGAAGACTATACTTTTTAAAGGTGATTGGTGGGGCTAGAACAAAAACTAAATTGGAATTAATTCAAAGGTGATCTAAAAAGATGCAATCCCAAAAGGAAGATACATTTCAGAATGTATCTTCAGCTTGTAGATCTGTGCATGCAGGAAGTCCTCGACATATGATCACAACTTGGCCCAGACTTTTCGTTGCTAAGCAAGGCAGCTGTTAAGAGCCCCCCCTTTGAGGGAGATGGGCAGTTTAGAAATAGGAAATATAAATATAAAATAAATAAAATAAGTGAATAGTGTCCAATTTTACACTCTTTTGCCACAGTTGTTAAGCGAATAATGTGGTTGTTAAGTGAATTAACATTGCTTGTTGGAAGGTCACAAATGTTGGTCACATGACCCCAGGATGCTGCAACCATTGTAAATACATGCCAGTTGCCAAGCACCTACATTTTGATCATGTAACCCTGTGGATGTTGCAATGGTCATAAGTGCGAGGACTAGTCGTATGTAACTTTTTCAGTGCCATTGTATGGTAAGTTAGAACAGTTGCAGAATGGGTGGTTATAAGTTGAGGACTACCTGGTAGGACTAAGCTATGAAGAGAGGATTTTACACACTCTGATTTGGTTTAACTTTGAATAGATGCTCATTAAACCACTAGATTGACTAGATGAAGATGAGAACAAAAACAAATCTTTAATAATTCTACAAATGTATATGATTTTATTTAAGCCAGAACTTGGGAGTTTGGGTTTCCATATATAGTGAACTGAATAGATATTGTGGATCTTGACATTCATGTTTTTAAATTTTGATTTGCTGAATTGATAAAAGGTTGGGCAGTGAATTGGAGGCACCCAGCCATTGCAGTCTAATTTTCCCAAACTGATAGTAATCAAAGAAATTTTGAATAAAGATTCAGCAACTAGAGTGGAAGCAGTTGTCAAAAGGGAAGCGAAAATAGAGAGAAAGGAGCATGAAGCAATACTACGCTAAATTTAATTTGCTATGGACTGTTACTTTGTAATACATGTGGGGGGAAAATAATTTGTCCCTGAGGGTGACTGGTTACTCTTAGGGTGGATATTGGTTTATTTGGGGGGGTTCTTTGAAAAGCAGTAAAGTCAAAACATTGCTATTTTATGTGTTACATGCTCTTAAGAAAAGTATGTCATGAACAAACTGCCTTTACTTATATTTATAAGCGGCTGTAGGAAAGTTTGTTTTCCTCTAATACTAGAACAAAAATTGACAACATCCAAAATTATGTCAAACATAATGTATTTCCTCCAGAACAGATACAGTGAGGGGAAAAAATATTTGATCCCCTGCTGATTTTTTACGTTTGCCCACTGACTAAGAAATGATCAGTCTATAATTTTAATGGTGGGTTTATTTTAATAGTGCACAAAAACAGAAAAACAATCAAAATGTCCAGGTGATAAAAATGTGTCCTTTATACTGTCCCATACTATCTAATCTATGTATTAAGATTACCAGAGACGTGTTTTCTCAAATCTTAATTTATAGTGTTATTACAGATTGGCATTGGAGTCAAATAAATAAAAGGTATTATTTATTTGTTTGTTTGTTTGTTTGTTTATAATTCTTTCAGGATCAGTTTGAAAAGGTGAAGTCATATTACATGAACCAGAATTTTAGATGCTGAATTCTGCACATTGGACTTTCTTGTTTCAGTAGCAGCCTTCTGTCTTTCATTTTAATAAATCAGCCTAGAGATGAACAGATTATTCTAGTCCAAACAAGACAAACAACTAACCAACGTTGACCAAGGGAATTTTGAACTACTGAGATCTATGCAGTTGTCCTTCACTTATAACCATTCAATTAGTGACCGTTCAATCTCTTTCCACCTGAGCAGAAAGGAAACCACCCCAATAGCAGAGGAACAAAAGATCAACTCCTAATAGACAAAATGATCTTGGAAAACTGCAAGAGAAGGAAGACCAACCTGAATGTGACATGGATTCACTACAAAAAGGCATTCGACTCTCTGCCAATAACTGGATAATCAAGTGCCTAGAAATAACAGGAGTCAGTAGAAACATCAGAAAGTTTGTGCAAAGATCGATGGCACAATGGAAGACACAGTTGCAGGTCAATGGTGAGAGACTGGGAGAGGTTAATATCAAGAGAGGAATATTTCAAGGAGATTCATTATCACCACTACTATTTGTTATTGCACTGTTTCCTCTGTCAACAATACTGAATAACTCAAGACATGGCTATCAAACATCAAAAACATCTGCTACACTATCCCACCTCCTTTACATGGATGATCTGAAGCTGTATGGAAAAACACTATTTGAAATAGAATCACTGCTCAACACTGTCCGTATATATAGCTAAGATATTGCAATGGAGTTTGGCTTGGACAAATGTGCCACACTTATTATCAAACAAGGAAAAATAGTGAAAACTGAAGGAATCAAGATGCCCCATGAAAATAACATTAAGAGTTTGGATGAGGAAGATTACTACAAATACTTGGGTATCCTTCAAGGTGACAACATCAAGCACATTGAAGTCAAGAAAAAGATTAGAGGTGAATACATCAAGAGAATGAAGAAGATGTTAAAGTCCAAACTCAATGGAGGCAATACCATGAAGGCAATCAACACCTGGGCAATTCCAGTCATTAGATACATAGCTGGAATAGTGGACTGGACTCAAGCAGAACTAAAAGCAATGGATAGGAAGACAAGAAAAATAATGACAATGAATCATGCCCTTCATCCACGCAGTGACATTGACAGACTCTATCTACCAAGGCAAATAGGTGGGCGTGGAATGTTGCAAGTACATCAGATGGTTGAAGAAGAAAAAATGGCTTTGGAAGACTATCTGAAGGACAATGATGAAGATGCACTGAAGTTAGTATATCAGGAAGGCTTGCTGACTACTGGAGAGACCAAACTGGCCTACAACAAAGACGAAATGAAGAACAGAATGGAGGCATGGGAAGACAAAGCACTACATGGCCAGTATATTAAAAAAATAGCTGGAAAGCAGATAATAACAAGACCTGGCAATGGTTAAGAGCA